ATCACCTCCTACCCTAGTGCCTCTTTCCTGCAGGGCAGGGACCCCTTGTGAAAGTGATAAGGGAGCGGGCTGGGCTGTGTGTCCATGCTTCGCAGGGCTCAGGATTATTATGCTCCTGCTTGAATTGGGATGTGAATCTGGTGTAAATGTCAAGTACATGTGGAACTCTCCAATTCACTACCCCCTTTCCTCTTTCTGAGAGTCAGAGGAATAATTTTTTTTTTTTTTTGGTCGCCTGCACCGCGCTCAGCCAGTGAGCGCACCGGCCATCTCTATATAGGATCCGAACCCACGGCCTCGGGGCTCGCTGCACTCCCAGTGCCGCACTCTCCCGAGTGAGCCACGGGTTCGGCCCAGAATAATATTTTTTAAAGGTATTTTATTTTGGATTTAAAGAGCAAAACAGAAGCTGCATTTTTGTTTATTATGCACAAGAAAGATAAATCTGTTCTTACAAAAAAAATCTAGAGTTGAAAACTCTGGGAAAATTTACGGAAATACACAAATGCTTCCCTCTCTGTAATGTGCAATATGCTTCGCAACTATAGATGATATTTTATGTTTAATTTGTAAATAAGAAATGTATTTAAATGGAGCTTTTTGTAAAAGGACCAAATGTTCTTTTATAAATGTACTATGGAATAGCTTGCTCTTTGAAATTATTTGGATTTTTATGAGTAATTTTTATTAAAAGGTTCTTTTTTTGTTTTTTAAAGATGACCGGTAAGGGGATCTTAACCCTTGACTTGGTGTTGTCAGCACCACGCTCAGCCAGTGAGCGAACCGGCCATCCCTATGTGGGATCCGAACCCGGGGCCTTGGTGTTATCAGCACCACACTCTCCCGAGTGAGCCACAGGCCGGCCCCAAAAAGGTTCTTTTTTTATATAAAAAAATAAAAGCATATTTTGGCTTTGGAGTGATAGGGTCAGACCACTCAAGACCCTGAAGATAAATCATTTGAGCAAGTCTCTGTTGTGCAGAAATGTTTCAGCCTGTGTCCTTCATACTTCCATGTGGAAATGTCCAGTCTTAGTGCCTCACCCAGCATGCTGAGAAACTCTCACACCCAGGGGTTGCAACCTGACTGCGGGCACAACTTGTACTGTTCCCTTTAGCTCTGAATGAAGATCAGGAGGCAAACCGTCCGCTGTCAACTGGTCTCTGGGAACATGTGGGCGAGGAGCCTGGCATTCAGGGCAGCCTCCTTCATTCATATGACAAGTCCCCTCCTCGCTGCTCAGAGAACTGGGGCTCTGTCAGCACTGGTCCCAGAGCCCTTGGCTCACAAAGCAAGCATCAACTCACTGGAAAACCACTTCTAAGCATGGGAGTTTTATTTTTTTTTTTATGTCAACTGGTCTCTGGGAACATGTGGGCGAGGAGCCTGGCATTCAGGGCAGCCTCCTTCATTCATATGACAAGTCCCCTCCTCGCTGCTCAGAGAACTGGGGCTCTGTCAGCACTGGTCCCAGAGCCCTTGGCTCACAAAGCAAGCATCAACTCACTGGAAAACCACTTCTAAGCATGGGAGTTTTAAAAAGATTTATTTTTATTCTTTTTTTTTTTTTTTTTGGCAGTTGGCTGGTACGGGGATCCAAAGCCTTGACCTTGGTATTATAACACCACACTCTGAGTAACTTGGCCAGCCCCTATTTTTATTCTTAATTGTGGTAAAATATGCATAATATAAAATGTATCGTCTTAACCAGTTTTACATGTCCAGTTCAATGGCATTAAGGACATTCACTCTGTTATGCAGGCATCAGCACCATCCATCTCCAGAACTCTTTTCATCTAGCAAAACTGAAACTCTGTCCCCATGAAACACTCACTCCCCCTTCCCCAGCCCCTGGCAGTCACCGTTCTACTTTCTGTCTCCATGAGTTTGACTATGCTTGGTATTTCATAAAGTGGAATCATACAGTGTTTTTTTGTGACTGGCTTATTTCACTTAGTGTAATGTCCTCAGGGTTCATCCAGGTTGTAGCATGTGTCAGAATTTCCTTTCTTTTTAAGGCAGAATAATATTCCTTTAATATATATATTACATTTTGTTTATCCATTCGCCTGTTGATAGATACTTGGGTTGCTTCCACCTTTTGGCTATTGTGAATAACGCTGCTATGAATAAGTTGTACAAAGATCTCTTCAAGTCCCTTCTTTCAACTCTTGTGGGCACATATCCAGAAGTGGGATTACTGTATTACAAGGCAATTCTATGTTTAGTTTTTTTGAGGAACTGCCACATTGTTCTCCCCAGCAGCTGCACTGTTTTACAGTACCACCAACAGTGCACAAGGGTTCTGATTTCTCCTTATCCTCGCCAACACTTGCTATTTTCTGTTTTTTTGATAGTAGCCCTTGTAATGGGTATGAGGTAGTATCTCACTGTGGTTTAGATTTGCATTCCCCTAATGATTAGTGATGTTGAGCATGCTTTCATATGCTTATTGACTATTTGTGTATCTTCTTTGGAGAAATATCTATTCAAGTCTTTGCCCATTTTTATTTTATTTTTTTAAAGATTATCGGTAAGGGGATCTTAACCCTTGACTTGGTGCTGTCAGCACCATGCTCAGCCAGTGAGCTAACCAGCCATCCCTATATAGGATCTGAATCCGTAGCCTTGGTGTTATCAGCACCGCACTCTCCCGAGTGAGCCATGGACCGGCCCTCTAGTCTTTGCCCATTTTTAAATCAGGTTGTTTTTTGTTGCTTGAATGGTAGGAGTGCTTTATTTATTCTGGATATTAACCCCTTATCATATATACACTTTGCATATATTTTTTCCCATTCTGTGGGCTGCCTTCTGAGTCTATTGATTATGTCCTTTGATACACAATTTTTTTTTTTTTTTTTTTGTCAGCTGGCTGGAATGGGGATCCAAACCTGTGACCCTGGTGTTACCAGCACCACGCTCTCCCAAGTGAGCTAACCAGCCGGTCCAAAAGGTTTAAATTTCAAAGTAGAACAACTTATTTTTTCTTGTTTTGCCTGTGCCTGTGGTGTCTTCTGAACATATGATTTTAATGATACACAGATCAAGCATTATCTAAGCACTTCCCCTTCCCAAAGAGGCAGCCCTCCCATCAAGAGGGCTTGAATTCTGCTCATCACTCTTTGGTCCAGTTGTAAAAGGAATCCTATGTGTTGACAACTGTCCTCCCAATGTTGTTTGCCACTGACACTTCCCCCAGTCAAGAGTGTCATTTGCTCAGGGGATGCTGGAGATCAACAGCAGCTGATTTTACAAGCCTCTTGGCAACAGTATGTCTGGTGCCACTTTTTACCTAAAGAGCATGGGCAGCCACTATCCTGATACTGGCATTTACCATTCCCATGCACGTTTTTAAACATTTACAACATATGTATCCAAAAGCAATATACAGTGCTTTTCATGAGGTTTTAAAACTTCCCATAAATGCATCATTCTGTATGTACCCTTCCACACCTTGCTCTTTCACACAACATGATTTAGCATTATAAGCTTTGGTCTGTTTCAAACCCCTGCCCCTGCAAGGATATTTACCACAAGTGGAGACTTTTTGGAGGAATGGCCCAAAGTTTCGTCTGTGCTGTGTAATACAGGAGAACCAGGACTTTGGCCAGGAGTGTAAAAGACCACCATGCTCATTTGCTCTTAGGTGGCAGAGGGGGCGTGGAATGGAGAAATGTGAAAGAAAGCTTTGGCCACCGGATGTCAGAAACAACCAGAGAGAGACTATACAGCCACTTCCACAGGCCTGGAGGGACAGATGACCCTGGGAAGGAGAAAACTGTTGGTTTTACTGTAATGAAAACTCAATTTAGGACAATTTAGGATTTAATAATTCTGATCTTGGATCTCATTCCAAGGAATTTTGGTTACTGGTGAAGTAGTTACTGATAGAAGACAGCAGATGGGAGTCTGTTGCTCCCTGGGGAGTAAGATTTGTGAATTACTGCATCTCTCTGAGCCTCAGCTTCCTCATCTGTAAAATGGGAGAGGACTCACCTAACAGGCAAGGTACATGAAGGGCCTGACATGGTCAACAAATGGTCATTGTCATCGTCACCTCCTTACAAGGCAAGTCTCACCAGCCTATGGCAGGGTGGTGGTGGTGCAAATTCCACCAACTGGCCTTGAATCACCAGATTCCTCAGTGCTCTGAAGGAGATCAGGATTTGAACGAGAGAGTAAGTAGGGTCAAAAAAGTAGAAACAGAAGTTCTACCAAGAAAGACCGGCCTGTGGCTCACTTGGGAGAGTGTGGTGCTGATAACACCAAGGCCATGGGTTCGGATCCGTATATAGGGATGGTCGGTTAGCTCACTTCAGAGAGTGTGGTGCTGACAACACCAAGTCAAGGGTTAAGATCCCCTTACCGGTCATCTTTAAAAAAAAAAAAAGTTCTACCAAGAACCCCACCCCCTCTGCCCAGCATTCCAGCAATTTTCCTTTGTGACCTGACCCCTGACTTTAGGGTCTACTCGCAGAGCTGGGCCAGTCTGTTGGCAGCCTTCCTAGGTCGCTAACAGGCTTCCTTCAAGATCAATAGGCCGTGCACTAGCTTCCAATCTGGAAAAGTCATTACTTGCCTGGTCTGGCCAGTGTGGCAGCAGGAACACAGTAGGAGCAGTCTCACTGCTTTAGAAGTCTTGCTGCATGCCCCAAGTACACTGGCACCACATGCTTGAGGAGGGAGCGTCTGCAAAGACAGAACCCTGTGGTGACTCAGACAGAGAGGCATTCAGAGTCAGGAGAAACAGGGTAACTGATGGAAGAACTGCCTCACTTCTAGGCAATGCCCTGTTGCTGCCAGAGGCCCAAACAAGCTTCATGGATTGCCCCCAGACGTGAGATAGCTATTGATCTAATGCAAGTTACAGTGACCTGGATCCAGAAGACTCAAGCTGCAGCTGGGGATGGCCAGCCTCCTCTGCAGTGGACCATTGCAGAAAGCTTTCTCCTTCTACTCTGCAAAGTAAAAGCAGACCGGCAGTCACCCTGGACACAGTGAATGGGCGCTGATTTCTTTATTTATTAGACTCGAGTGCTCTAGTACAGAATGGTACAGAGATGATACATGTTTGTGCTTCAATACTTTCAAACACTGAGATTCTGATAATTTTAAGGTAAACAAGTTTCAAGACAGACTAGCCTTTTAAAAATATCCTCTTGGTAAATTATTTTAATATAAATAACACAAAAAAGAAAACCAACGTGTTTGACAAACAAGGTCCTGAAGCATGAGCGTAGTTTGGTCAGAGGGAGGGAACAAAACAGGCAGTGACAGTAAGAAACAAACCAATGCAAGTACTTATAGTTCTGTCCTAAGGAAATAAGATATATTAAGGGGGAGAAGGGACACAGAGAGCAGAGACCTGAAAACTAGTCTGAGTGCAAAGGGCAGATTTCAAAGCCTTGAGAACACCACAATGCATCTAGCGGGCAGGGCCACGAGGTACTAGCATACACCACGTTTGCAACGACATCACGAGACACAATAATATACATACAATCTGTGGGGGTTAAAGGGAGGTGGGGGGGCTGGGCAAGGGACATTTTTGTGACTTCCACTGTCATTATATTTCATGACAACAGCAGCAGAACAAATGGTGTGCTCACCACTGGAGAGCAAGGACTGCTGAGTCCTGCGGATGGTGGGGCACCCTTCCTGCACTTGCTGCTTTAATTTTTGCTTTACAGCTAAGTTTTTACAGCTGAATTTTTACACAGAGAATAAAATGTTCATTTTCTCTTACAAGCACAATGACATATAACCTCATAATACACAAAATAAAGAATTAGGAAGTATCTTAAACTGAGGATAATCTAGCAAAAGTTGTTTGCTGGGGGAGTACAGAGTCTGTACGGATCCAACGGGCTATTCTTCAGGCCAAGTGCCCTTCTCTACAGCAGAGGGCCCCTTGACCAGAGCCTCCAGAACCCATCTGTTCCAACCCACTGCTGGCCCTTGAACTCCCCCTAGGCTGACCCGACTAAAGAGAATGAGCTGTTGGGGTGAGGGCGGGGAAGGAAGGGCTCTGGTCAGTAAGATCATGCCAGACTGCTTCTCCCAGACGGGGCTTTGCTCTCCACTTGTCCATGACTGGGTGCCATGACTGAGGAGAAGGATTTCCCTCAGGATCCCAGCACTGTGGGCACCAGCCAGGGAAGCAGCAGTGACAGGCTGTGGAAAGGGTGCTAGCCTGGCTTCACACGGATACTGCTAGCCCCACCCACAGCCACCCCACTGGGGCATGAGCCACTGGGAAATGCACAGAGGCCTGCTCCTCCTCACACCTCAAGAGACGTCCCCTGATTGTCACTTCCTGGCTTATCTAGACGAGGGCTGGCACCAAGGGGTAGGAGCTGGAGTGAAGGCAACAGATTAATCCTCAGTGTGAAATACTCCAAGAACACAGACATCTCTATGATTCCCAACAAGAACAACCCAAAACAAGTTTTTAAAAACACCCAAACTTCTGCCTTTCCATACTCAAGCAATTTGCACATGTTGCATAGGGTTATGTACAAGGTCACAGAATCATACATAAGGGGTAGAAGGCGTCCATTCATTCCAAACAGTTCAAAGACTTCTGCAGCATGATGCTTGCACATGAGCTTCTTCTTTTAGTTTACATATAGAAGATACTTTTTAAAAAACACAATGCATTATTTTCTTTTGTCTCAAGAAGAGGGCATCACTAAGCACGAGAACACAGTGGCGACAGTGCCGGCCAGGGCGTGCAGAGCTGGGGAGGCGACGGACGGAAAGTCAGCAAAGTAACCGCGTGCCTGGCAGCACAGGAGCTGCAGAGCACTGTGGGAAGAAGGGTTGTGTGTGGAGGGGCAGCTTATTTTTTTAACTGCTTATTTCTTCATCTGTTTTATTCAGTTTCTTCAGTGTGTCCAGCAGTTTCTGGGGGGTGAGAATGTGCGTGGATCCTGGGGGAGGCAGAGGAGACAGTGAGCTTGCTAGTTCTAGTTTTGAGCACTCTTCCCTCTCTGTGTTTCTTGATTCCCAGATCTGTACCTGCCCCCCGCCCCCACCCTGTCCTGGGTCTAGTGGAAGCAGGGAGGGGATCAGGGATTGGAGCTCTGTCACAATAGGCCTGGGGGACATTTAGGGACTGTGAATAAACAAAACACATCCTCTGGCTCAGGCAGGGTCCCAGGCTGTACCAAGGAATGAGCCACTTCTCCATCCAGGATCAGAGCCATCTGCCAGGAAATGGGCACCTGCAGTTCTAAGTCTCCATGGGCTCAAGGGGAAGCCAGGGAGAGAAATTCCAAACAGCATGACAGGGGAAAAAGTAGAGAATGGGACAGGGGTTGGTAGGGGGGCAGTGTGTGGAAAGAATGGTGCCTGGCAGAGGAAGTTGGTGGCAAAGCCCCCTGGGGGAATCCACAGACCCCTCGGAGCCACCCAATTGGGTGACACCTCCATGGTGGGTGGGACCTCAGGTGTGAAAGGGGAAGGGACGGGGGACCTGAGGCCTTACCTTGCAGAGACCGCACATTGTAAGTGATTAGAAATGCTTGCAAAAATTTAAGCTAATGGAATTAGATATAATTCTAAGGCAAAAATAAAAAAAGAGAAAAGAAAAAGAAATGAAGGCCTTTTTCATAAGGAGAGAGAGAGATCTAATAAGTGCAGTAAACAAAGATGCATGGACCGTGTGGTTTGGACATGGACTTGATCAAACAGAACGGAAGTGACTGGGGTGGGGTGTGAGCATGAGGCCCCCACACATGCAGCAGTGGGCTTCAAAGAAAGATCCTGGTGGAAGAAGAACTGAACAAAAGAGATCCGTACTTGAAAATGTGCCTCTCTGGAGACGTGGGCAAGGGAAGGGGCCTTCATGGGAGTCAGGAGCAGAAACCTCTGGATGCCAGATTTCTACCCCAAGGGCAGGCAAAAGAAGGCTTTGGCTGGCTGGTTGGGTGTGACTCCAATACCAGGGTCCCTATGCCTTTGACCACTACTTGCTCAGCTGAGCTAAGACTGCTAGAACTGTCGGCCTTTCTGCTCAATCCAGACCAGCAGAAACCATGTAAAGTACTATCTAGTGTGAGGGGCTTCTTCGCTCATCCTATTCTCTCCAGTTCAAGCCCCAGCCACCCACTTGCTGCTCTGAGTGAGCCACCAGTCCTCGGCTCCTTCCCAGGGACGCCGGCCTGATGCCCTGAGCATGCAGCTGGCAGCGGCCTGTACTCTGAGGCTGACTCTCCATCCTGCAGACCTGAGGCTCCTTAAGCAAACATGATGCAGGTTTCAGGAGTAGGTCCTGGGCATATTTATAGCACCTCTTTCCCCAGCAGTGCACTCATTGCTGTGACCTTACCAATCTTCCTACTAGCGCTGAAAGAGGTCAACGGCTGCCACACAAATGATGAAAAAGGACAAAATGTTACAAGGTTTGCCCCAAATTCTGAAGAGTGAGCCACTGCCAGAATGAGAGCCTTCCACATGTCACCCTGATGCAGGCTGTGTGTCTAGACAATAAAAGACAGCCTCTGCACATAGAATGTGGGGCTACCTTGTGAGCTTCCTAGTTAAAGGCAACAACCATGAGCGCAATGCCAGAGAACATAGTCCCTAACCTACCTCTCCTTTTCTATCCAACTGAGTCCAGGAAACAAGAAGCCAGACTTGACTGAGAGACAAAATCTAAAGGGGTTCCTCCGAGCAGATGCCTGTCCCAAAGTACTCCCTACCCTTGCTTACATGCAAATTTGGGATTTGGGAGAAGCCAGAAGAGGCTAGGGAATCAGTGCTCTAGAATTTTCTGATGTTAACTGATCACTGACCATCTGGTGTTCCAGTCTTGACTGAAGACGAAAAATTCCAGGGCCAAGTATTGGAGACAGTCAGTGAGATCTATAAGATTCTCAGCAACAGGCACGTTCCTGGGCCTCAATTTACCTGGCCTCTTAAAAGGGACCAGACTGGTTGGTATTTATCTAAATCACCTGAAATCCAGTTCTTGACACTCAATAATCTGTTTTGTTTTAATAACATTGGTCAAGATTTTTACCACCATGAACGCTGCAAATTGAGCCGGATGAATCTGTACTCCACATTTTGCAAATGTTCTCACTGGGAACCCACAGATGGCTGACCACGTTGGCCTTCCAGACGAGAGCATCAAGGGAGTTGTACTGCTCTGAGTGTCCCTTTTATTCCACAAAACTGGGAGATTATTCAATGTGAACAGCAGTCTCCAAAGACTAAGCTGAGGCCTAGCCAAATGGCTGTTTATATGTTTTCAAGGTTGTAGACTAGACACAGCAAGCTCCTTCTTTCTACACTGACAGAATGGAAAAATCAAAAGACTTCTCACAGACTCACTGGTCTAGTCATTCCTGAATTTGGCTGAAACAGCCTCCTGACTCAGAACATCCAGGGCAGTGCCAGACAACGTGTACGTTTGAAAGCAACCCAGGTGCGTTTGATGATCAGCCAGGTTTGGGAAACAGGGAACTGGCCCACCCCTCTGATCCCACAGATGGTAAAAATGAAGGCCAGAGCAGTAGATGCTTGCTCAGGGCAGGGTGGTGGCACGGCCAGGCCCAGAAGCCATGGCTCTGGTCTCTCCGTGACCTCCTAGGACGGGAGGGGACGTGCAAGTGAGTGCTTAAATAGCAGCTGGGCAGTAGGTTGGCTCTGAACTCACATTCTAATCTTTTTTTTTTAAAAGATGACCGGTAAGGGGATCTTAACCCTTGACTTGGTGTTGTCAGCACCACGCTCAGCCAGTGAGCGAACTGGCCATCCCTACATATGGGATCCGAACCCGGGGCCTTGGTGTTATCAGCACCGCACTCTCCCGAGTGAGCCACGGGCCGGCCCCACATTCTAATCTTAGTGTCTCAATGAAAAATCAAACTTACCTGACCCCAATCTGGAATAAAGCAAAATATTTCATATTAAAACACAAGAACTTTCTCCCAAGTGGTACCTGTAATACGATAGGTCTAATCCAGCCTTTCAGTTCTCTTTCACTTGCTCTGACAGCCTCCTGGAGATTTCTTAATAATAGGTACTTTTAACATAAACCAACCAGAGCACAGAGGTAAAAATCTAATCAAAAGACTTCATTTCTGGGCTGGCCCATGGCTCACTTGGGAGAGCGTGGTGCTGACAACACCAAGTAAAGGGTTAAGATCCCCTTACTGGTCATCTTTTTAAAAAAAAAAAAAAAGATTTCATTTCTTAGAAAATTTGGAGGGGCAATTAGCGGGGATTAAGATGAGATGTGGTGGTTAACCCAGACCTCTGGGGAGCTGGCCTCGGCTACCGGAGAGAGAGGGGCTGGGAGGACATGGTAAGGCCCTTTCACCCATGCATGATACCTGCTGGGAACACTCTCATTCACTGCTGCACAGGAAAACTCTTAAAAGATAAGTTGCCACAATACCAATATTTAGGAGAAAACTCAGGCTCTCTAACATTCCGTGTTGTCCTGTGCTTTTGTTCCCTGGATGATCAGAACAGAAGGGGCACTGGGGCCGGCCCGGTGGCGCACTGGATAGTGCGCCGCTTGGGAAGCGCGGCGGCGCTCCCGCCCGAGGGTTCGGATCCCACATACAGACCGGTTCCCGCTCACTGGCTGAGCGAGGCGCGGGAGCAACACCGAGGGTTGCGATCCGTTGCCGGACACGGAAAAAGACAAAAAACAAAAAAAAAAAAAAAAAAAAAAAAAAAAAAGAACAGAAGGGGCACGTCAGATTTTCATCTGCTTTCTAACCTCACTGGCATTAGGGCTCTGTGCCTCTCTTCTTAACTGAACTCTCTAAAATCCAACACTGCCCAGAAAATTGTTTCGGAAGCCAAAAACATACAACCAGAGCCTATCTGCTCTTTGTTCTGCTGGCAGCTGAGACCCTTTCTGCTAATCCAATATAGAACAAAGGAAAATATTCTGCATAGGAGAGGCTTCTTTCGAAGCTGGAAATCCCAGACTTAACCCTAGCAGGAGCCCTTGGGGTTCAGGTTTGTGGTTATTTCAGATCCTGCAAGTGGTCTGCTGTTGCTGCAGTCTCGACTGAACACTTTAGAAATCTTAAAATACATCTTTCTGCAAATACCATCCACCTACATTCCATGTGCAAACAGAACCAGATGTCTCAGATTTACAGCCTATCAAGGTGCTTCTAAGGAATGACTTTTTTTTTTTAACTGCTTTTATTTATGACTTTTTAACTGCTTTCCAGGGGAAGGCAAGCCCAGGCAGGATGGGAGCTGCCGCCCATGGCCATCCCCACCTCCACTTCCCTGGCTCCTGACTGCTGGCTGTTCCTTAGCTCACTGCTACGTGGAGCCGCTGTCTCTCTGCCAAGGAGAGGATGGAAGAGGAGACAGCCTACCTTTCGGATGGAGCACCATTTTCTTTCTATAAACAAGCACACTTCCAATGTTATCTAGCCCAGGTCCTGATGGGCCGTTCCCCTGAGGATCACCAGAACCTGAGAGCGTGGGTAGGATTGCATGGTTCGAGGCACAAATCTGAATTACTGAATTTACAGACTGTCAGGGCTCAAAGGAGTGCTGGGGTGCTGTGATCCAGCTTCCCTATGATCATCTGCTGTGGCCCAGAGAGTGGGGGTAACCTCTCGCAGTCACAGTCAACGGGAGCTTGCAGAGAAGCTGGGGCTGGAGTCCAGGTCTCTCTCCGCTGCACACAGATGACTCACACTCTGTGACTCACTGGGCCACATCTCAGCTCAAAGTGAAAGGGGCATTTTCAGGGTCCATCGTCAAGGCAAAGTCAGGTACACAAAATGTGGCCTCATCACAGAATTTATAACAGAGCTCAGGAGTGACTACTGCTGCGATGGAGTGCTCCAGCATCAGCTTGCCGTTTAAACACATCGTAAGAGGTTCCCAGCATATACGAAGGATGGAAAGAGAGAGGAAAGAACAAGGACAATTTTGAAGACCAAAATGTAGATAGTCTATCCACAGACAATGGGTTCTGGAAACAGGGGTGGTGGGGGAGAGAAGACAACTGTTTAGAACTGTACAGCATATCAAGAATAGATTTCTACTGAAGGCTCTCAGACCTTTCCAAGAGCCTTCAGTGGGAGAGAGGGGTGTGATTGATTACTCGACTCTTGAAAGGATCCACAAGAGAATTAAAATAAAGGCAATCACTGAAAGAACAAATGACTATTAAGTATGTTTTGTACAGAGAAACACGAGTCAAAGGTCTTCCCACTGAAGACTGGAGTTCATCAAGCACCTGGCGGCTTGTTACCTCGTCGCCCCACAGAACTTGAGAAGTGCCTGTCCTAGGAAAAGGTACTCACACGTCTAACCACCATTGATCTGGAGCCTATTCTGACGCTCTCTGCCAAGCCTCCCTCCAGATCAGGTGCCTGCAGGTATCTCCACCAGCTGTCTGCCTTCTTGGCCACGGCCTTCCCCTGCGTGTTGGCTGGCCTCATTCTCAAACTCACGCACCCACAAAGGGTGCTAACTGATTCAGCCCTGGGCCAGCAGGCTCGGGCACCATGCCTCGGTATCCCTCAACCTCCAGCTCCCTCTGTAGTTAAAACGCAGCAGGTGGCCTGCAGCTGTGTGACTGAGCAGCATGTAACCCAGGGCATGAGCGAGCTGGCACATTGGAGCCCAGGGGGGTTCATTGCAGGGTGTGAAGGTGGCACTGGACACATTTTCAATCGGTGGTAAAAACTGCAAGCATTTTCTTGTTTAAAAAAGAAATAAAAAAATAATAAACTAAAAAGGGAAAAATAAAAAGAGTGACGGAATAATCAAAGAAAACCCTTCAGAGTGGAAGAGTTTCTTTTCTGTAATAAGCTGCTTTTACTTTGTTTCTTTGGCTCTCACTCCATTGTTGGAGCCTGATCCTCAAAAGATACCCTAGAGGACTCCCTGAAGTCGGGGTGTCTCAGGTCCATGAGAAATTTGGTGGGAGTAAGAATATGAGTAGAACCTGCGGGAGAACAGAGGCCAGCTGACTGCTTGAACAAAGGTATGTCACAGGAACATGCCAACTTAGGCCTACATTTTCTGCAGCCAATGAGGTATGAGAAAGCACGACACACGCACACACACGTGCGAGCACACACACAAGCACACACACGCCCACAGCGGCGAGGCGGAGGTCATGCAGAAGCGGGTGAGGCCACACAGCGGACATCAGCTGTCTGCACAGTTTCCTCTGTGAATCTGCCTGGGCAACTTCACATCCCCAGTTTCCACCTCCCAACAGGGAACCTTGAGTCAGGTCCGAAGGTGAAGAGAAGGAATTACACCCAAAGCCTGGCTGTGACAGCTTCTGTCCAGGAAAGCTGTGTTTGAGCTCAAAATTATCCAACGCATTCATGCAACACATATGCAAGCAGGGAACAGAGGGCTTTGTCACGGGGGCAGACACAATGAAAAGGAAAAAACAATTATAGGGCGAACTGGTGACCAGACCAGGGAAGCTTGAGGGAGTTTGGCAGGGTATGTACAGTCTCCCCAGTGGATTGTGGTATCAAGAAGGAGGGTTGACAGCCCCAGGTCCATTTTGGTAAACCCAGGAACAGCCATATGGACTGCTCTATGGAGAATGCTTGCTTGGATAGTGGGGATGGGGTGTGGGGTACTGTGACTTGGTCACCCCAAACTGGAGGTATAAAACTGACACTTGCTATCAGGGTAATGAGTGTGCCTGGGATTCTGACCAGCAGTGAGTATACGGGGGACCTATGACCTATGGGGGAGGTCAGAGAAGCCTTCCCAGATGGTGCAGTTCAGGGCCTCTCCCACAGCAGCTCATGTTAAATGGCCTATGAGGCAATCCTCAGGCCCTGGAGAGTAGAATTTCCCACTGGGTGCAGAGCACACCCCCTCCAAAGGCAGACCAAGAACCCTGGCCTCATGCCTCACTCAGCATGAGTTGTACCCGCTGAGGATGGAGCCTGGCCAGGGCAGTACACGTAACAGCCTCTTGCCAATCAAGGTCAACAGGGACCCTGGGCAGGTGCGACTCCATTTTGCTAAGGGCAGGAGGGATGAAAAGAAAGGCATCTGGAGAAAGCAAGATTTTTCTCAGCTCACTCTTCCAGCCCTAGAAATTGCAGAAGCTCCTGAAGGCATGAAAAAGGAGAAAAACCACCTGCTGCATCAAACCACCTCTTAAGAGCTGCTTCTTTTCTGGAAAACTAACAGGCAAAACCAGAGAGGGCATGGCAGACCTGGAAAATGGCAGGAACAGGCTGTGGGGGCCCTTAGCAGAGTCCCACAGCCAGGCTGATGGGTTCGAGGCAATACCTGCTCCCTCGCTGTACAGCAATCTCTGGCTGATGCACGGCAGGAGGAGGGTCGTGATCTACCTGCTATTGACTGAACGTCTCCTGTGCATGAGGCCCACTGCTGGGAAACTGACAAATCTCACCTGAGGCCTAGTGCAGGGCTCTAAGTGGGTGCTCTTAACCCCATTTTGTTGGGAAAGGAAATGGTAGCTTGCAGAGGTCATGTCAGTGGCTCAAGGTGATCCCACTTGGCACTAGTAGAGCACCGATTTGAGCCTGAGTCTACTAGACAATACGACCAGACACTTCTCCCTTATGATGCTGCCTTTCAGCAAGAGACACAGGAGAAGGAACCCTTTGACCCTTAGCTTCCACCATCCGCAAACAGTTCCCCAGAGACTAAATTTTGCCCGGGTAATGAAGAGTCTACTACAGAATGCAACACCAAAGCATGGGATGGAGTCCAACGCGATGAAGCAGCCACCCCGGAAAGCATGCCCACTCACCTATCAGCACCTCCCACTTGCCATTGGCTTGGGTCACCTCATATGCACAGCGCATCTCATTCAGGCTCACACCCCCAAGGATGAAAATAATGAGGCGGGGGCCGCTGCGGTACTCCCCCGGGGCCTTATTCTTATGCCAGTGCCCATAGCGGGCGCTGAGGAGAAAAAGAGAGAGAAATTAATTATGTATCTAGTGCTTCATACTTCAGTGGTTTATTTTCACATTAATTCTGTACATCAATACCCCAAACAAAGTAGACACTTAGTAGTGCTGGCTAAATTTCACTGCAATGCGATTTTCAAGTGGTTTCACTGCTGGGAGAAGAGTCACTACAAGCGCCTGTGCTGTGACCTTGTCACTCTCTTAGAAATATGCAGGTTCTGTCCACAGCATCAGCTGCATGATGTTCATGCAGGTATCGATGACTCCATAGCATGTATATTTCTGAGCATGTTGGGACATTCTGCCAGCAGTGGGCAGTGATGACAGAGTGTGAAGTCTGCCTTCAGGCTGGCACATCTATTCCCTGGACAAACATGTCCCAAGTGAGTGCCTCAGATGGGCTGGGACCTCCCCAGCCTGTTTCTCCTGGAGATACAGCCCGTTTCTCCTGGAGATACAGCCCTTGCCCACCAAGAGACTGCAGCTTAACAGGATGGTTGGGGAGAAGGAAGCAGGTCCAAATCGTGCTATGTTGAAAGCTCAGTGCCATGGGGACAAGCACAGGGGAAGCCATGGAGCCCTGTCCAGGCATCACTGGGGGAGGCTTCCCTGGTGGCACTGAGCTGCCTCCTGAAAAATGCAGCTGTCGTCAGGGAAGGATATTCCAGTGGTGGGGTGGCTCCCGGGGGGGCTGCCCTCAACAGGTCTTTACCCTGGACTCAGTAACAGAGAGGAATGGACTGCTTCCAGGGTAAGAAAGTGGGCAAAAGAAAACAAGGGAGCAAGTCTCCTCCGGATACTGATGTGCTTTGCCCTTCTTCCTGATTATGACAGCATTGCCGTCACTGCCAAATCTGGAGGGCAAAGTGGGGGCATGGGGCAGGGGACGATTAGGGCCAGCACAGAGAATCTCGCAATCACTTCCTTTCCCTGTGCAATCATTTGATATCCTGCTGATATAATTTGATACCGACGAGCTTGGCTGTGGCACTACTTGGGACTCTGTATTTTATTCCAGGTCTGGCAATAAACATTCCCCCTCCACTACCATCAGAGGGGTTGCACCATGCCACAGATACCACCACAGGCCTTTGGCCTAGGCCCAGGAGAAGGCTAAAAGAGAAGACAGAAAAAGGAGGGGCAAGAGAGAGAACAGGCGGGAAAAGGTGAGAAGAGGGACAAAGAGGTACTCGTCCTAAGGAGTGTCAATCTGGGAATGGCACGGTCACCACTGCTGGGGTGACCCTCTCTGGAGCTGCTAACCCTACTGTCCCAAGCTCACGTGTAGCCCTGACCATTCTCAGGAGCCATTGTACGGATGTACACAGTTTACCCATTCATCAGGTGGTGGATATTCCGGTTGTTTCCACACTTGAGCTATGATGAGTAACGCTGCTGTGAACACCGGGGTACTGCAATTGTAAACAGCGTGCTTAGGGAGGATCGGAGAAGGAAGCACTTGAGGGCAGATATATCTGGGGACCGACACTCAGGCAAAGGAAAAGCAAGTGCAAAGGTCCTGAGGCAGAAACAGGCCTGGCTTGTTCAGGGCAGAGCAAGGAGGCTGGTGTGGCTGGAGTGGAGTGAAGGGAGCATGAGGAAGGAGTCAGAGGAGATGGGAAGCCAGAGGGTGTAGGACTGCGTGGGCTGCTGGAAGGACTTGGCCTGCACTCTGGCTGTGACAAGAAGCTGCAGGAGGTTCTTGTGGATCATGCCGCCTCACAGCGGGCGGCTGCACAGCTGACATCAGACCACAGAAGGCCCCATCTGTTCTCTCCTTGGCTGCTCAGGGGTTTCTCGCCTACCTGACAGCAGTGGTACTAAAGGAGGCAGAGGAGCGCGTAGAGATGTAAGGATAGTGTTTGGTGTCAAGTTTGTCCTCAATAGTGTCCTGGAAAGAAAAAAGACAGATGTGAGGTCTGCCATCTGTTCCAAAAGGGCTGACAGGAACCAAGGAGAGATGATTTGAAGAACAAGTCAGTTAGCAAAAACTACCACCAGGTTTGCAACACCAGTGTCGTCCCTGCTGCCAGGGGGGCCAAGCAGATGTTCCGTAACCAGCTGCTATGCTGAGATAAGTTTGTAGGTCTGCGCTTCAAGAGAAGTGTTTTTTTTAAAAAAACAAAGCATTAATGTTTTTTGCTTCTCTTCCAATTTATTCTTTTTTTACAATCTACATGAGGTTACAAATGTTGCATTTTGTCCACTAAGTTCCTCACACTTGCCATCAGCCTGGTATAAACTTGGAACAGGCAGGGTCTCTCTGGCAGGGGAATGCCTTACCTTATCCCTGCATTTTTCAAGGATCTAATTACTTGGTGGGTGGGTTCCCGCTATCCACCTCCTGCTGCCTAGAAATCCACACTCCTCCTAACAGCTACCATGGGAAGCCCACACACGTCTCTGGGGGGGATCGGGAGTAAGGGGATAAAAAGGGGACAGAGGAGATAGGAAGGGATGAGGCAGAAGGGCTGGCTTTGTCTATTCCACTAGGCAAATACATGTAATTGGTTTCCAGATGTTTTGTGTTTACCTATCCTTTTGGTTTGTGAGTTTTAAAAATAGGAAGCTGACTCACTCTATATATTTAAAATGTATTTATTTCAATGTATAACTCAGTAGGAACACCTGGGTTGCTACCAATTAATGCAGTGAGCCTGGGTAAGCCCCTTCCTTCTCTGCACTCCAGTTTTGTTTGCCCAGTGCAGAAATTGGGCAGATTCTCTCCAAGTCCAAAGATCTACTGGTACAGGCTTCTGTGTGGGGTTTCCTCCCGCTATTGGAAGAGAAGGGAGCGGCACCACAGGGCTGCTGTGAAGCCCACAACCTCACGGAACCTTCCAGCCAACAAACACAGAATGCCTGCTGCATGCAAGACTCCAGGCCAGAGGACACAGCATGTGGGGGCAGGACCAACGTATAAAAAAATGACCCAAAACACAGAGCAGCACACATGCTACAGGAGTTCAGAGGAGGCCTCCATGGAGCTAAGTGGTCAGACGGGTAGGGCAGCTCATGAAAACGGTGAGAACTGAAAGGGACTTTGAAGGAAAGCAGGACTCAGGAAATGGACAGAAGAGTGGAGGTCCGATCTGCTGGCATGTGGAGGCTTAGGAGGAGGCAGTGGGAGAGTAGGCAGGGGCAGGCTGGGTTTCATTCCAGAGGCCCTGCATGCCCGGCTGAGGTGTGCAGCGTGGCACGCCATGTCTCAGTGTGCCACTTGTGCGTGTGCCTCATCTGACCTTTGAGACACTGTGATGTGCTTGCCTTCTGTGGATATGGTATCACCAAGCAGTCTCTATAATATGGGGCTATATCCTCCAAGACATGAACAACAAATGGATCTTGGGGATCTGCATCTGTCCGTCTCTCAGCTCCTCATAAATGCTCCAGACAAGGTGTGCTGTGAGGCCAAAAGAGCCCTGGAGACCTGGGTGGAAATCCTCAAGGGAAGAAAACCCCAGTGTGTCACTGCCACTTTTGAGCAGGTGAAGTTGGAAGCATCTGGGCTGTAACATGAACAGCCCTGGGCCCTGGTTCTTCCTCACCACACCCCCATCACTGACCTCCATGATGTCTTTAATAATTGGGGTCCATCGGGAGAGCTGGTAGGTCTGCTCGCTGATGCGCTCCTTCCGCTCTGGCTTGCTCCTGCGACGCAGTGTGGACTAAACGCAAACACACACAAGAGGAGACTCGAGTCAGAAGCCACTTGGGCCCTAGGTGACTTCCACTGATCTCTGGACATTTTATCAAGGACTCCCTTCAGAGTTAGCACTGGCAAAGAGTGATAAGGGAGAAGGGCTTCCCTGGAACAGCCCCAAACGTGCCCCTTCTAAGAACCTGGAGCAAACCTGGTTCTTTAAAGTCAAGAAAAATGGCAAATGTGGGTCAAATAAATAAGTCCCATTGTTTTAAAAAAACTTTTTTTTTGTTTGGAGGGGCAGCACATGAATTCTGTTCTGCTCAACTTTTCTGTAAACATAAAATTGCTAAAAAGTACAAGGGTACTTCAAAAGTTCGTGGAAAAATAGAATTAAAAGATAATACGAATCTTTCCATGAACTTTTTGAAGTACCTGCATGTATTTTAAAAAAATGGTTTGTTGTCTATCACAGGAGAAAATACTACTTTGGGCCGGCCTGGTGGCGCACTCGGTAGAGTGCGGCGCTTGGGAGCACGGCGGCGCTCCCGCCGAGGGTTCGGATCCCATATAGAGAACGGTCTGCTCGCTGGTTGAGCGCGGTGCGGGCGCGACACCGAGGGTTGCGATCCTGTTGCCGGTCACAAAAAAAGACAAAAAGGAAAAAAAAAGAAAATACTACTTTGGGTATGACTTATTCTTTGATTTCATTTCAATAGCATGGGTTGTATTGAATGAGTCATCTCCATTATCATTCTGATCCCTCTTGTGAACAAGGGTCTGAAAACACCAAACTACTGCCAGTTACAGATTTATGGTCTGGTGGCAACAGAACAAAGCTGTTAAGATTCCAGAGGGAGTACATGTGCGATTCTAGCTGTATTAGCAAACCGACTGCCTGTAGAAAGCAAGCACACAGTGGGCTCCCACAGGTGAGGTCGTAGCAGAGTGCTTTGGACGGGTCCTGGTGGGCCCAACCTGTGCCTCTTCTAGAGCAAGTGGTGTGGTCCAGGCCTCCCAGACAACCTGCTCTGACTTGGTTCTGAATCACACCAGTGCAGAAGACTCAGAGGTGGTAAAACTGTTCAACTCTAAATATCCTGTTCTCATCCTCACAGAAGATGCTGAGTCTAAGGTGTCCAAAGGTAAAGCCAGACTGACCTCAAGATAAGACGGATGAAACCAGGGTGATCCCTGTTTTGGTTTGGTTCGGAGACATAGCTAAGTTTTAACGAATGCACGACTCCCTGATGTGCACGCCTAGGTTTGTGACTTTGTGCCTCTATTTTATTTATACCTTTACACCTTTATCCTTCTGATTTCATCTGTCCTTGAAGCTGAGTGTGGGTGTGAGTGTGTGTCATAAGATGTCACGATTAAGCAAAAGTAGACAAGACATGCCTGCTGCCTGCTTCCCTCCTCCCTCCCCGTGAGCAGAGCAGACCCTTACATCTGTGACGATGGGCACACCGAGGTGAGCCATGTTGGTGATGATCTCACTGTCCTCCGGGGGAATCTGGGCATGCTGGATCAGTTTGTTCAGGTTTTCCTCGGTGATGCCTGAGGGAACAAGACACCCAATCACCACACCCCCCCACCATGCGTCACAACACTCAGAGCTGAGTCCATCGCCTAGGGCTGGAGGGTAGCCCTTCTTCTCCTCAGGGTTAGTGGACATGAATCTGTCTACCACATCAACTTTACTGTAAGACAAAGACAGAATAAGGATCCCAAGTCTGCTCAAGCCACTCTGTCCCAAGTGATGAGCATCAGCAACTGCCCCCCATGGTCTGTACAGTAGCTTGTCGCTTAGTGATGGGAATACATTCTGAGACATGCGTTCTGGGCGATTTCATCATCATGCAATCATAGTATGTACTTGCACAAACCTAGGTGGCATACCTACTACACCCCAAGGCTATATGGCACAGCCATATATGATCACCGCTGCGTGTGCGGTCTGTTGTTGTGTGCTGCATGACTGTATTTCCATCTGTCCCCTGCTTCTCAGCATTCCCTGCCCACACCTGCCCTGCATCAAAGTCAAATTGGACAAGGGAGTCCTATCCATCTTTTGCACAATGAACACACCTGGGCAACTATAATATGGGTAAAAATCAGTTCTTTAAAGGCTGAGATTACAAATGTAATGCAAGTTAAAAATACCTGGGATGTAGAGCTCTAGTAAACTGGCCATAAAACCAGTCAGCCCTCCCTTCTCTCCTGAGCCCTGTCCCCTTCTGTACGTTCCATGCCAGTTAGTAACTCTAGAGTTATGCAGGATGTTCAGCCTCTAGTTGCGACTGACTTGCCTACACTGCACTTTCCAAAACAGAAAATGCCCTAGGATATTCTTTTCCTTTCCCTTTCCACATCTTTTAAACAACTTTTCTGCTGTTTTTTTCTCTCAGCTGTTGTAATTTCCCCAAGAAAGGGCCAATCCCCTCCTCTAGACCCCACCATTCCTAACCATTCTTCAAAAAGATGTAGAGAAGGATGATGCGGATTTTGTCATAAGTGCTGACGTTGGCATCCAGCAGAATGGGGACGATGGCTCGCATGGGATCCTTGATCTTCTCTCCCTCGGCGTCAGTACCCATGGCCAGATCCTGCAGAAAACACACTTGTTGGCCCCATTTCTGGTGACAGTTGGGAGATGGTGGCTCTTAGGAAATTCATGAGATCCATAAATGTCTGGGATTGGCTGGGGAAGGTCTTAAACAGCGGCTTCTGCTCTCACAAGGCACTGCAATTAGCACGAGTGTGATCAGCATGTTTCCTACAGCATGAGTGAGAGTGGATGAAAGCCCCAAAGCTTCACCTCCTCAAAACAGAAACCACAATGATTTGCCTACTTGCTTAAAGGTAGCCTGTTCCCTGCAGGTGAGTGCCAGTGTACCTGTGCCAATTCCTCGGTAAAGACTCAATCTTGGCAGGTCTTCTAGCAGCACAAGGCCCTACTGAGGGATGCCCTTCCCTCCTAGGAAAAGCTTGGGCATTTTAAGGTGTCTCTGTGTGGCGAGATTCTTTCCACTCTGTTTCCTCTGGCATCAAAGGACATGCTTTTTGAGTTTTAACTTCTGTTCTTAATCTTTCTACCATTTTTTAAGGATTAGGAGGAAAAAAAAAAAGAGGCCCCAAAGCTGCAAATCCCAACCCTGGGAGATGAAGGAAGAGAAACAGGCTGACAAAAGAACTGGAGATACGAGTTTTAACTTCTGTTCTTAATCTTTCTACCATTTTTTAAGGATTAGGAGGAAAAAAAAAAGAGGCCCCAAAGCTGCAAATCCCAACCCTGGGAGATGAAGGAAGAGAAACAGGCTGACAAAAGAACTGGAGATACAAGAGGGTCCAGTGAGCACAAGTGACCATTCCCCCGCCCATGATTCAGGCAAGACTCAGATGCGGCGAAAGTAGCATGGCTGTCTCAGCAAGTCAAGAACCATTTGGTCTCGTCTCAGACACTCACAGCCATGGCTTCCTTTGTAGCTCGTAGGAAGTTGTCTGGAGGCTCCCGTTTTTCTCTCAAGATCCCAGGAGTCCATACAAATTATGATCTTGAGTGCATGGCCTCTTCCCAGTCTGGGTCTGAGGAAGGCGGGACACCTCTCATGGGCCTTTCACCTCTCAGTCCTACCCCCAGTCTCAACAGATGTTTGTTCCACAGGACCTGATTCTAACATTCTTTGTAAGTCCAGGTAAATGTAACTAGTTCAACGATACTGTTGAACACTTCTGAAAAATTTTAAACTTTCATTAATTAATCCCAAATTGCATTTTTACTGATCTAGGTATATAACCTGTTTTCTAGATGGTCAAGTTATTTTGGAGAGCACAGTTCGTGTTTGCTAAAACCACCTGGAAATGGATGGATTTTAGCAGGGCCACTTCCCCTTATACAATATTCAATGATCTTGGGGAGGGTGGCAGGGTATACAAACCTAAGCTGAGCCTGTCACATCAAACCAGAGGGTGTAAATCTTAGCTTCAAACTGAGAACCTTAGTTTTTCCTGTGAAAAGAGACTTTCAGTTGAGGCCTCAGAAGCTTTTAATGTCCTCTCTTCCCTTAGAAGTTGACCAATAGTTTAGTAGTGTTGTAACAATGACAGTGGAGGGTCAGGATTAGTGCTTCCACACAATACCCTGAAAAATGTCAACACTGTGATTTTCTTTTTGCAGATAAGGAAAATAAAGCACAAAGAAATAGGCACATCAAATAATCAGTGATGGAGATTGATCTCAAATCCCAAAATTTCTATTTATGATTCTAATTGTGATGAGTGATGCTTTGGCTGAATTTCTAACCTGCTACTGCACTATCTTTTCTTAGCCTCTAGGTCTCCAAAGCTGGCTTGGCAACAGCAGGAGGAAAATACATATAGAATATAAAATTCAGCCAGATCTGTCAATATAGGGCCCAGAACCCCATACATCTTTCAGCCATTCCAGGGAAAACAGATCCTTTGGGAAGAGTCAGGCATGCAAAATCCAAACAGCACAGCATTCCAGACCAATCTAGTCCCTACTATTGAGAGTGGAACCACACTAGCTCCAGAGAGTTGAGACAACGTGATCTAGTAGGATTTCCCATTTCTATTTCCTATGGTTCTGCAGGATGTTCAAGGTCAGATGTTAAAATTCAGCTGCATAAATGGGCATGGCAGAAGACTTGCCATGGCAGAAAGAGAAGGAAAGAGTCTTACCTGCTCCACTCGGCAGAGCTTATCTACGGTGCCTTGGTAATGCTTCATACAGTCCTCAGCAAGGTGTAGATGCGTGGAATACTAGGAAAAAGCACAAAAGAGTTCGTGATCAAGGAATTATCACTGAGCATCCACTTTATATGAAACACTGTGCTAGACACTACAGAGTCTCTAGCCTCATAAAGGAGATAAAACATGTATAAGCAGGTACACGAACATCACAAAGCAAAAAATGTTACATGTGAGGAGAGAGGAACAAACCACATTCTAAGAGTCAAGAGGAAAAAAGAAATCCTATATGAGGATAGGTGGTATGATGGTTTTACAATGTTTCCACAAATTCTTTGATACTCCTCCTTCCAGTAGGTGGAGTTTAATACCCCCCTCTTGAGTATGAGCTGACTTTAGTGACTCACTTCTAACAGTGTTAAGTAAGTAATGGCATGTGATGTCCAAGATCAGGACACGAAAGGCATTGTGACTTCCTCCTGGCTCTCTCAGATCACTCACTCTGGGGGAAGCCATGTCATGAGGACACTCAAGCAGCTCTGTGGAGAGGCCCCATGGTGAGGAACTGAGGCCTCCTGCCAACAGGAGGCTAATAGGAAGGATAAAGAAAAAGAAAGATAAAGAGGAGAAAAGAAAGTGATAGGAAATAAACTGCCTATCTTGGCTTTTCATTTCTTTTCAATAAAAATTGAAGACGGGCTGGCCTGGTGGCGCACTGGAGAGTGCGCCACTTGGGAGTGTGGCGGCGCTCCCACCGAGGGTTTGGA